CGAGCAGCCCGCCCGAGTTTGCGAACGCGCTCGAGCCGACGCGATAGTTTTTGCAGTCGACCCGCGAGACGACGCCCTGCGTTGGGGAGGGGGAGGGGGGAGTGAGGAGGAGGAGGGCAGGGGGGGGGCGGGAGTGAGGAGGAGGGCACCCTTGGGAGAGAGGCGGAGAGGAGAGGCGAGAGGAGGCAAGGCGAGAGGAGGCGAGGAGGGGAGAGGCAGGGAGAGGGGACGAGGCGGAGATGGAGGCGGAGATGGAGGCGGAGATGGAGGCGGAGAGATGGAGGCGGAGATGGAGGCGGAGATGGAGGCGGAGATGGAGGCGGAGATGGAGGCGGAGATGGAGGCGGAGATGGAGGCGGAGATGGAGGCGGAGATGGAGGCGGAGATGGAGGCGGAGATGGAGGCGGAGATGGAGGCGGAGAGATGGAGGCGGAGATGAGGCGGAGATGGAGGCGGAGATGGAGGCGGAGATGGAGGCGGAGATGGCGGTCCTGAGTGACGGAGATGGTGGTCCCACCCGTCGGGAAGCCAATCACCTACGGGGAGGCTCCTCGACGGCTCCTCGGAGGCTCTGAGACGGACCCGCCGCAACAGTGCACACACATGGACTGCAGACTGCAGCGCCGGCAGCGTCGAGCACCAGACGGCGGGCGTCACGCCGTTCCAAAAGGAGTCGCCGCGGCCCTCCTCGTCCTCATGCACGGCCAGCAGCGCGAGGTCGACGTCCGGCCCCCGCGCCAGCACCGTGCCGCGCCACCGCCGAGAGACGCCGTGCTTGCGGAGCCGAACGTCAATCGCATCCTGCACGACGTGGTAGTTTGTGAGGATGCGGCCGCCCTCGATGACGAAGCCGGAGCCCTTGCACGAGCGCTGCGAGTGCATCTTCCACGGCTTGATGTAGTCGGGAGAGGTGCTCGTCACCTCCACCAGCACGAGCGACGACCAGCGCGCCTTCATAGCCGCCGCCGCGAGCAGAGCCGCGTCGGCACCGCGCACTATGCTCGGCGAGCCGACCTTGCGCGCCTTTGCTGGGGGCAGCGCTCCCGTGCCGTCCGCCTCGGGCGAGGAGGTCGACGAGAAGAGGTCCGGCATGGGCAAAAGCGGTGTCACGCGAGTTCTGACGGGAGGGGCGCCCGCTACCTTCCGCGCGCGATTTCTTTTCACCACGCCTACATCACTAGTGTGGACCCGCGGCGGTACCCTCTCTGTTGTTCGGGCAGTGAGAGACGCAGGATCTGCACGCCAAAGTGGGCCACTCATTTGCATTTTGGTTTTGGGTTGTCGGAGATCATCCATCAGCACACAGCACTCATGTCTCATCAGTCAGTCACGTCAGTCAAAGCAGTCGTGGCACGTGGAGCAGTCGCTGCATGCAACGGCGCCGCCACACGCTCCGGACGACCCCGACAACCGACACACCACGCACAATATATATGGGAGGCTATCGCGCACGATCGGGCATCGCGCCGCAAACAACTCGCCGCACAGATGGGGGGGGGGCAGAATCCCCCACACACCGGAGCAGCACAGACACCTTACACGTCAGCGCTCGCTCGATGTGGCCGGCGCTCTCCCCTCGGTCCTATCTCGCCTTTTCAACGGCGGCGTGCGGCCACGCGCCGCGCCGAGCCGGTCTCGGCGGGAGACCTCGGAGCCGCACGCGATGCGGGCATGCGCGATGGCTCCGTTGGCTCCGTGCCTAAGGCAGATCGATTAGGGTGTGAGCTGCGGCAGCCACCGTTTCTGTACCCGCTCGATCACGTGCAGGCCGTCGGAGGCCGCGCTGGATGGCCCAGGGCCGGCGGCGGTGAAGGCGTCCGTCGATGAAGGGATGTCGTCGAGGGAGCCATCGTCCTCCGCGGCTGGTGCACCGGTCCAGTTGTCGGAGTTCGAGATCGCAGTCGACTTGGAGAGTGTGTTCGGCCCGTTGACGAACTCACGGAATGTGAGCGACTTGGTGCACGCTGGGTCGAGCATCATGACTCGCACCTCATCCTGGGCGAGGAACTCGCCCAGGGACCAGCTGTTGGCGTCGCCGTTTTGATCGAGCTGCATCCACTGCATGGTTTCGTAGTCAAGCGTAAACGCCCAGGAGTTGGTGCCTGGGTGACTTGCTGATGAGAGCGCCTTCCAGGCGGGCAGTCGTGCCCCTCACCTACGGTCATACGGCGGCGTCAGAGGGGGGGAAGGGCCGCGAAGCGTGAACATGGAGGCAAGCAGGTGGTGGCTGCACCTGGCCAAAGCCGGCGACCTCGAAGTTGTCGTAGCTTGTGCGGATATCGCTGAGCGTGAGAGGGACCGGATCGGCAACAGCATGGGCGGCCGCGTCAGCGGCCGGAGAGGCCGGAGAGCCATCCGACGGAGGCCGGTCGTGCATCGGCGCGTCAGCCGCAGGGGCCGGGGGGGCGGCGGCATCCATCGCTGCGGGTCGCTGCGGGCCGACGATTGTGGAGGGATCGATCGTGGCGGGCGGATTCGGCTGGGACGTTCTACGGTTAAAACCCTAGTAGGTGGATAGTGTCGCTGTTTTCGAAAGGCGCTGACGGCCCGGCGCGTACCGCGCGACGCCCGGGCTACCCACCAGTGAAAGGCCTATACCAACCCTTCAAAATGACCTACTAACTTTGGTACACTCTCACTTTGATATTTCCCGCGGTGCACACTCAAAGTCCGGAAATCTCACAGACGCGCGCGTTTTGGCCGGCTACCCCATCGGGTCGCACGGAGACACGGGAAGGCTGCCGCAAGCCGCCTCCGGGTGCAGGGGCCCGACGCGGTAGGCGGGGGCAACAGCCCGGTAGCTGGCCGCGCCTCTCCGCCCCGCCCGTCGCCGCTGCACCCCTTGCCGCGGCCCTCGTCGCTGCTGCAGCGACGACAGCCGCGGCACGAGGTCAGAACGCGGCCTCGGAGAGCTCGAGCGAAGGCGCCGACGGTGGCGGCCGTGGTAGTGGTTGATGGTAGAAGGCTCCTGAGCCGTCGGGCACCACGCTCGACGTCGCCGAGGAGCCGCACCCGGCGCGAGCGCCTGCGCGTCGGCGGGTGCCACCGAAGGCGGGTGGGCAGCACCGGGCGGGGCGGCGGAGCTTCTCGAGGCGCGCACGTGCCCCGCGGGTCGTGCGCCGAGGCAGACGGCCGAAGAACCGGTGGAGTATCGCGCCCTCCTTCGCCGTGCCGCGTGTGCGCTGCGCCCGCTCGAGAGGCCGTCGAGAGCAGCGCGGCGCAGCCGATCCGGGCGATGAGCGTGCGCGGAACCGACCGGACCCGTCAATGTCCACTATGCGGGCATGGCCAGGCCGGCGCGGTTTGGTCTGGCGACCTACAGGGCGCGCACCGCGGTTGTGTCAACGCGAGATTCCGCGAGACCGCCTGTCTGACAGGTTATCCACGCACTAGGGTTTTAAACCAAGAGCGTCGGCGCCGACACGAGAGACTTATAAGGGTAGACGTGGTGTACCTGTGTTAGTGCCAGTGCGCGCCAGTCCCGTGCCCAGTGTTTTGCAAGGAATTCTCGTAAAAAATTTAAAGAATGCCTCGGGCACGCTGTATCGCCGGCGCACAGGCCACCCACACCGCCTGCGCAACACAACAACCAAAAGTGCCCACTGCTCGCCAGATGCATACGTCTGCGACGCTCTTCTCTCTCGTCGCGCTGCTCCCGCTCGGCGCCGCAAGCGGGGTGGCCTGGGAACTGTCCGCGGGTGCGGCGGCCGCCGCTGTCATGCTCGCTGTCTCATCGGTGCGCATCATCTCTACCGGCGAGGAGGCTCTGGTGGAGCGGCTGGGGCGGTTCGAGCGGCGCCTGCACCCCGGCCTGTCGTTCGTCATACCCGGCATCGAGCGCGTGTCGATCTACGCGAGCATCCGAGAGCAGGTGCTCGACGTGCCGCCTCAGCCGTGCATCACGTCCGACAACGCGCCACTCAGCGCCGACGCCGTCGTCTTCTTCCGGATAAAGGATCTGGCCCGCGCGCGCTACGCAGTGGACGACTTTCGCGCCTGCGTCACGAACCTCGTCCTCACGCAGCTCCGCTCCGAGATCGGCCAACTCACCCTCGACCAGACGTTTGCCGCGCGGGAGCGGCTCAACCAGAAGCTGCTCGAGGAGGCCAACGCCGTGGCGGCCGGCTGGGGCATCGACGTGACGCGCATCGAGGCGCGCGAGTCTGATGAGAGAGGCGCACGTCCGGTGGACAGGTCCAGCGGAGCACACGCGTTCGGTGGACACGCCCAGCACAACGCGCGGTGGACAAGTCCGGTGCACGTCCGGTTGATAGCACGTCCGGTGGACACGTCCCGACAGGTGCGCGACATCCACCCCTCGCCAGAGATCGTCTCGTCGATGGAGATGCAGATGGCCGCAGAGCGCAAGAAGCGGGCCGCCATCCTGCAGTCGGAGGGAGAGAAGGCGGCCCTGATCAACGCGGCAGAGGGGCGACGCGAGGTGAGGTAGAGATCGCACCTCACCGCCTCTGCAAGATCCCACGTCAAGGTGGCGAGCGCAGCAGACTCGTCCCGTCTCGGCTCACGCGCTCGCGCCGCCTGGTGGGGATCACGCCGCCACCACGCCAGCAACTCGCGTGGCGACTCTAGCCCTTTGACTCTGGCCCGTCCGACTCGACTCTGGCCCGTCCGACTCAGGCGACGGTGCTCGGAGCGAGAGGCGAGCAGGAGCGGCTGCAGATGGAGGCCGAGAGGACGGGCCAGCCGACACACTCGCCCCTCGAGATGCGTCCGTGACACGTCCATGACGCGTCCAGGCGAGAGGCCTCGCCGACTCGCTCGACAGGATCGCTGCGTCGCTCGAAGGCGGCGCTTCCGGCGGCGCGGCGGCCGACGGCGGCGCGGCGGCGCGGCGCGACGCTGCTCGACTCTTGCTCCACCGCCAACACGTGGCGGCCTTGGCGTCGGTGGCGGGGAGCTCGAACGCAAAGGTGCTCCTCTTCCCGACGCACGCCAAGCAGCTCGCGAATGCCGCGGTCCTCGGCGACGCGGTCGCCGGCAACGCATAGTCCATAGAGAGACGGCAAGGAATCCGAACCCAGCTGCAGGAACCGAACCCTTTTGCGAGTTGGGTTGTCATGGTTGAGTGTCTGAGCACTGAGGGTTCTGAGAAAAAAGTCGGAAACCCCACAAAAAGACTCAAAGTCGTGCGCGGGCTGGGGCGGCCCCTTGCCCTTTTTGGCCCTGTAATACAGCTAAGGACCTTCACAAGAGGGGCACGCGTGGAGAGACTCGTGCAGCAGCGCGTCGCAGTGCTCGCAGAACGCGGCGCCACACGCGCCGCATGTGAAGCCGTGCGTCGCCGGCGCGGCGTTGCGCGCGGCGGCGGGCAGCGCCTCTCCGCAGCCGAAGCAGAGCGCGGCGGGCGGGCCGAGCTGCTGCTTGAAGAGCGGGAGCGGGAAGAGGTGGTGGTACGTCTTTGAGAGGTCCGTCGCCGAGAGGAGCTTGAGGGCGCAGACAGGGCACTCGGTGGGAAGCTCTGCGTGCAGCACGCCGCACTGAGGGCACGCAAACCCTCCGTCGGCCCTCACCTCGGGCTTGGAGGAGCCCGCCGAGTAGGTGAGCGCCGGAGCGCCGCCCGGCGGCACGCGGCTGGGGAAGCCAACCTTGACCAGCGAGTTGGTCGGCGCGAGCTTATCCTGTGGCGGCGGGGCCGGAGGCGGTGGCGCTGGAGGCGGTGGCGCTGGAGGTGTGAAGGGCGGCTTGGAACGGCAATGGCGGCGGTGGGACCGGCGGCGGCGGCGAGGGCCGGCGGTGAGGGCGGCGGCGGCGGCGGCGGCGGCAGGGACCTGGCAGACGGGCCGCGGCGGCAGCAGCCTCAGCAGCAGCTCGCGGAGGTGTGGCTGGGAGAGAGCGACGCCGTACTCGCCGCCAGTCTCGCGGGCGATGCGCCTGTAGATGCAGACCTCGGCGAGATGGAGCGAGATATGGCCGAGCTGTGGCCGAGATGCGGACGCGAGCTCCGCCTGCAGATGTAAACCTCGGCGAGGAGGGAGATGACGGAGCAGCGGACGCGCGACGCGGCGATCGAGGAGAGCGAGGCGAGCAGGTCGCCTGCGTCACGAGAGCTGGGTCTCGGGTCCTCTCGGGTCCTCTCGGGTCCTCTCGGGTCCTCTCGGGTCCTCTCGGGTCCTCTCGGGTCCTCTCGGGTCCTCTCGGGTCCTCTCGGGTCCTCTCGGGTCCTCTCTGGTCCTCGCGAGCAGGTCGCCAGGGTCGCAAGTCGTCAGCGAAGACGAGAGGAGGAGCACCTCGCAAATGTTAGAAGGACAATGACGATGATGATGATAGAACAACAAGCAGACGAGAGGAGGGACCTCGCGCGAGACGAAGGACGCGACCGAGGAGAGCGTGTCGCGGGCGAGCTCGAGCGCGTTCTGCAGCGACGCGTCACCTATAGCACAGCTCCAGGAAAGGTCCTGCGAAAACGCTTGGAAGAGGCCCCGAGCGGATGTTGCAGGAGGCGTCGCCGCCGCAGCCGTCGTCGGACGCGGCGAGGGCCCGGAGCGCCTGCTGGTGCTGCCGCACGTTGCACGACAGCTGCGTGAGCGCCTCCGCCTTCTCTCTCCGCGTGACCAGCACCGCGAGCGTCGAGACTGGGTTCTGCTCAAAGAAGCGGCCGGCAAAGTCGCTCGCGGCGTCGCACATGACGGAGAGGCGCGAGGGCTTCATCTCGACGTCGTGCTCGGCGGCGTGACGCGAGCAGTCCAGCACCAGCAGCACGGCGCGCATCACGCCTCGCCGCACGCCGACCTGCACGCTCGGCTTCTCGCCTGGCCGCCAGGAGCCAGCGGCGGCGGAGCGAAGGCTGCCATCGGCCGTCTCTTCGACGGCGTCCCAGGTGCGCTGCAGCTCCGACTCCCACGCGTAGGATTGGGGCTCGGCCTCGGCGTCCTCCTCCATGCGTGGTAGCTGTGGTGTGGTCGACAGCGCCGCTCAAAAAGAATCATTATCCCGCGGCGGAGCGAACGGCGACGGCTCGGTTCGCGTTCGCTCCGCGAGGGTGCGACTGAGCCTGCCGCGCTCGATCTGGGAGCCCCTCGGCGCCAGGTTGAACGGCGGTCGGCTCGGCCACTGCGGGGCGACGCATGATAGAGCATGCTGGGCGCCGCATCATCTACTACCGCTCCACGCCAAGGCGCGGGCGGCGGTGCTCGCCGGCGCTCGCGGCGCTTCGGTGCTCGGGCGCGCTCACCATGTGGTCGTTCAGGGCTGCTTGCACACCACGCTTCATTAGGTGCAGGTGTAGGCGCTGGTCGCCTTCTTTGAGGCGTTCGAGCCGGTGAAAGGGACTCTCACCGGCGTCGGGCTAGCTCGGATGCATGCTTGCCTCGCCGACCGCGCCCTCACCACAAAGACGCTCTTTGCGTTCCTGCATGACGCTGACCCGGTGCGTGCCGTAGCCGAGATGCGTACGGCTGAGCTCTGGATGAACCTACCGATGAGACCGAGTCGAGATTGCAGTCCTCCCTCATCCTCTGCAAACTCTGCGCCCCGACTCCCTCAGCTCCACCGCCTCAGGATATCGAGACGGAGCAGCTCTCCGACTCCCTCACGCTCTACAAGCTGCACAAGTGGTTCTTCCGCGAGGCGCGTCTCGCCCATGATAAGAGCTCTTTCCCGACACCGGCGTCATGGGGCCGGCTCTCCCTCTCTCCCTCTCCAGGAAAGGCTGAGCGAGCCGCTGGAGCCGCCGACACTAGCCGACCGGCGGCGTCCGGTCCTCGAGTCATACGTGGAGTCGCGCGAGGACTTTTTGCAGGAGGAGTCCAACACGAAGCGCGAGCGCAACGCGGTCCTGGACAAGGCGCAGGCGTCGGGCGACGCGCTCGGCGTCGCAGTCAACGCAACTGACTCGCTCCCGAATGCGCTCGAGGCCTAGGCAGTTGTGCCAGGGTGATCCCTCTCCGAGGGAGGCCCGCTAAACCCTAAACCTAACCGGCGCGCGGGGGAGAGCGGGAGCGCGAGGGGCCCCGAGGGCCGGAGCGTTCGCAAAATATTTCAAAAAAAGAAAAATGTCAAAAAAAGACGACATCGACGAGGTTTCGAATGCGAGCAGGTGGTGGGCTGGTGGTGGGCGTCTCCGGCCCTCGGCCGCCGCGGTGTCGCGCGTATGCCGTTCCGCTGCGCTCCTCGTGACCGTGTCGGTCTTCGTCTTGCGCAATTTTTTGTGGCGCCACAATCCTCTCTAGTGTCTAGATACGAGACCCAGTCACACGCGCCTCCTGCCCCCGCGCCGAGCGCACGATTCCGCGGCGACATCTACCTTGCACGCAGAGACTAGAGTAGGCTTGCTCCGCCTCTAGCAATCTCGCCGCCAGCCGCAAGGCACGGACGAGCCCGTGTGTGGGGTCATGTGAGGTGTCTATGGACGCCCTCCTCAGAGGCTAGCGGCCAGCCGCTAGCCCTATCTCGCACTCACGGGCAGTGACAATTCAATGGGTGAGTGTTTGCGAGCAGAGGCGCGTGTGCTAATTCTAGGCCGCACGTCGCGCACGGTCGAAAGGGGGGCTGGGCGTCTATCATTCACTGCTGGGGGGGAGGGGAAGGAGGGTTGCAGTGAAGGAAGGTGGAGGTCTCGTCGGAGGCGCTTGTGAGCACTGTGAAGACCGTGCGCCGTCAGGACCCCGCCAGGACTCTGTCAGGACTCTGTCAGGACTCTGTCAGGACTCTGTCAGGACTCTGTCAGGACTCTGTCAGGACTGTCAGGACAGTTGCGGGAGCTCCACAAACCAGGTTGCGTTGCTTCCCTCTCTCAAGCGGCCCCCGCGCGCGTCTTGCCCGGTTTCGGTGCGCCGCTCCACACGCGCCAAAGCCTTTCGAGCTCGCCAAGTGCTCACGCCTTCTTCAGCTTCTCCGCAACAAGCAGGTCGACGATCTCCTTGATTTCGGGCTTGAGCGACGCGCCGCCCACCAGGAAGCCGTCGACGTCCTTGCAGGCGCCGAGATCTGCCGCGTTTTTGGCGTTGGCGGAGCCGCCGTACTGGATGCGCACGTCATCGGCGAACTCCTTGCTCACCGCCTCGGCGAGGTACTTTCGGATTTCTTCGTGCGTCTCCTGCGCCTGCTTCGGCGAGGCGGTGACGCCGGTGCCAATGGACCTGTTGAGCAAGTCCAGGACGGTGTCAGCAGGCGAGTGCGGCGATAATAAAATTATTTTATAAAAAATGCTGGCCAGTGGAACAAGGATGACGTTCATCCCCTTCTCGAGGAGGTAGCCCATCTGGTTGCGGGGCGGGATTGCAGATGTCGGCAAGGGGCGGCAGGGAAGAGCGGTGGCCGAAGCAGGCACAGCGAGGCGAGTGGGGGTGGAGTGTGTGTGGTGGGTGGGTTGGGGGGGGGGGGGGGGGGTAGGACGAGTGCAGCCGCGGCCTCCGAGGGCGTCCAAAGGGTCTCGGAAGGGTCTGAGGAGTGTCTCGCACCTTTGTCTCGGCGATGAGCGTGCTCGACTCGGCCGGCGTCGGCAGCCCAAACTCGCCGCGGCGCTCCGAGTGGCCGATGAGGCACCACTTCATGCCCATGTCGACCATCTGGTCGGCGCACATCTCGCCCGTGTACGCTCCGGGCCCCGTGAAGTTGCAGTTTTGCGGAGCGCAGTGCACGCCCTCCTTGAAACCCTTGAACACGATGCCGACGTGAAGGGGCGACGCGCGCACATAAGGGGGGGGGGTGGGGGGGTTAGGGGGTGGCTGTCGAGGGCTATGCCCGAGTCTGTTGTTACCAGCGCACATACAATCCTAGCCAGCTTATGGCAGCCCTAGCGGCAGCGCCAATTTATGGCAGCTGCCTAGCGGCAGCGCGAAGTTAGGGTTAGGGGTTAGGGTTAGGGGGGGGTAGGGGGTTAGGGGTTAGGGGTTAGGGGTTAGGGGTTAGGGGTTAGGGGTTAGGGGTTAGGGGTTAGGTGGGCGGATGCGTCAGACGTATGCGTAATACGTGAGGCGTAACCCTTGCTGGCCGCCACTTCTCAGTCAAATCGTGCGTGTGCGTAATACGTGGGACGTAAGCTCCCCCCGGACACCCATGGCGAGCGATGCATCAGACGTGTGCGTAAAAAGGGCGTAATCCCCTCTCCGCCGCCGTTCACGGTCGAGAGCGTAGTGCATGTGCGTAATGCGTCGGTCATAGGCCCACCCAGCCCCGATTTACGATCCCACTGCGTAAGACGTGTGCGTAATACACCGTGTGCGTAGCGCCCCGAGAGAGCCTCTCTGGCAAAGCTTACATAAAACAGATGCGTGGTGCGTGGTGCGTAGCGGCCAGAAGGTCGGTGGTAACGATCGGTGCAGAAGACGTGCGCATAATACGCAGCACATCTGAAATCACCGATCGGGCTTTCTGTCTGTACGCGTGAAGCGAAGGCGGCGTAAAGCCGTATGCGTGACGCATCACTCACTGAGCCGCCACCCGGCTTGACACGGCACCAAAATACACGACGTCTCAGCGACGTCCTACGAACCGTGGCCATGGATGTGCATAAGGTGGCCAACAATTGCATTAGTGGCTCTTACATATCCATAGCGGGACCGGTCACCTCCCCACACATCCACGTCCTAATCGTTGACGCGTCGGACAAGACCCACCTTCCGCCCATGTTGCCATCGCTGCGGGTGCGCACGCGCTATCCACACACCGACGAGAGAGCGATCGCGCCGTGTTCCGAGATCATCCCTTTCCAACACCACACGCACGGCACGGGTGGACGCCGCGCCGCTGCCCTTCCGCCTCACGCCGTGTCCATGGCACTACGTGGGCGCAGTGGCTGCGCCACTCACAGTCGGGAGCGCCTCCCGTCCGCGACGAGTCAGGCCTTCTTGGCCTGGGCGATGGCCGCGACGATCTCGGCAAACTCGGGCTTGAGCGAGGCGCCGCCGACGAGGAAGCCGTCGACGTCGGCGCAGGCGGAGAGCTCGGGGGCGTTCTTGGCGTTGGCCGAGCCGCCGTACTGGATGCGGATGCCCTCGGCGCACTTCGGGCTCACGTTCTCCGAGATCCACTTGCGGATGGCCGCGTGCGTCTCCTGCGCCTGCTCCGGCGTCGCCGTCACGCCGGTGCCGATCGACCAGACGGGCTCGTAGGCGAGGACCACCGTCTCGGGATCGAGGATGTCTTTGAACGGCGTGAGCTGCTCCACGCAGTAGGCGAGCACCGCGTCGATGCCCTGCTCACGGATGGGCAGCGGCTCGCCGATGGCGTAGATGCACTTCATGCCCTTCTCGAGGATGTACTTGCACTTGGTGGCGAGCAGCTCGCTGCTCTCGACGGGCGTCGGCAGGCCGAACTCGCCGCGGCGCTCGGAGTGGCCGATGAGGCACCACTTCATGCCCATGTCGACCATCTGGTCCACGGCCATCTCACCAGTGTACGCACCGCAGCCCTTGAAGTTGCAGTTCTGCGGCGCCACGCAGGCGCCGTTGGTGAACTTGTTGTAGACGAGCCCGACGTGCAGCGGCGACGGGCAGACGTACACGTCGCAGCCCGACGTATCGCACGCGTTGATGTTGGCAACCAGACCGTCGAGCTTCGAGATCTCAGCTGGGTTGCACTTCCAGTTGCCACCAACGATCGGCCTGCGTCCCATGGTTAATCTGCACGCAATGGGGGCCCCGCGGGACGGTGACGGAGAGGAGAGGGGACCTTGGTGTGGCCGCAGGCGGGGCGGGGCGCGGGGAGGGCGGGGCGGGCGAGTGAGGGTGGCGGGCGGGCGAGGGGCGCGGACAAGGCGAGCTGTGCCGCGCACGCGCCTCGGGAATCTCCTCTCTCGATCGGTCGGCGATTTCTAAGGCTTCGGCGCTTATCTCAGTTGAGGTACCCTTGCGCCACCGAGGTAGATCTATTGTTGGCAGGTGAGGGAGACTTGCGCGCGCGAAACTTTTTTTGCGCATAGCGATGGCCACACTCTTCCGCCTCTCCGCTCTCGCCTACCTCTCGCCGCCCTCAGCCGCCGCCACAGGCATCCGCACACAGCCGGTCTCCGCCGTTGCTCGCTGGGATCCGAGTGCCGACGCCGACGCAAGCGCGGCCCGGCAGCTCGAGATTGAACCGCTCGACGCGAGCAATGCCAGGCTGCTCGACGCGGTCCACCCTCGACGCTGGACGGACCCGTCGCCGCCCGAAGTGTACGACCTTGTCGTCATTGGCGCGGGCGCGGGCGGGCTCGTGTCGGCCAAGCAGGCGGCGCGGCGCGGCGCTCGCTCCTGCCTGATCTCGGAGGCGCTCGCCGGCGGCGACTGCCTCAATGTCGGTTGCGTGCCCTCCAAGGCGCCGCTTCGCACGCGATCTGGACGCGCCGCCTTGCTCCCGAATGTCGCTGCTGCCGCTAGGCGCTGCTCCGCAGCGCGCGCGCCGTGAGGGAGGTGCGCCGAGCAGAGGAGTTTGGAGTGCGGCTCTCGGCGCCTCCGGCGGTCGACTTTGCGGCCTTCGAGAGCTGGCAGAAGCACGTGCCGGTTGACGATGATCATCTAATGAGGAGTTAATCACTCACAGGCGGTGATGCAGAGGCTGAGGGCGAAGCGGGCGCAGATCGCTCCCGCCGACTCGCACGAGGGCACCAACGCGGCGGGCGCCGACGTGTACCAAGGGCGAGGCCGCTTCACCGGCCGCAACACTGTCGAGGTGGACACAACGCACGCACAGGGCACACAACGCACGCACGCACGCACGCACGCACGCACGCACGCACGCACGCACGCACGCACGCACGCACGCACGCACGCACGCACGCACGCACGCACGCACACAACTACAACTGCAACTACAACCAACAAGGGAACAATGACCGCAAAGCAACAGGGGAGCCGGACCGCGCCCAGAGCCGGTGCAGCAGTGGTCTGCACGCGCCACCCTCAGGTGAACGGCAAGGTCCTCCGCTTCCGGAAGGCAGTCATCGCAACAGGCGGCCGACAGACGGCGGCGCTGGTCCCTCCCCGCACGCCTTCGCCACTTGGCACCGCGATGCTGTGAGCACAGGAGGGCGCGCCGCGCTGCCGCCCATACCCGGGCTGGAGACCGCGCCTTTCCTCACCAACGCCAACCTGTTCAACCTCGACTCGCTGCCGCCCCGACTCGCCGTCCTCGGCGCCGGCCGCTGGTCACCCCCTCGAGACGGCGGCGTCGACGGCCGCCTCTTCACGCGCGCAAGTGTGAATAGGCGCCGGCGCTGTGGCACTGGAGATTGCGCATGCCTTCTCCGCCTTCGGATCGGCAGTCACCGTGCTGGCGAGGTCGGGGAGGCTGCTGCCAAGGGAACACCCCAAGGCGGGGGAGGCGGTGGCGGCCGCGCTGCGTGAGGCGGGCGGCTAGCCGAGATGCAGCCGAGATGCAGCCGAGGTGGAGCCGAGGTGCAGCCAGGGTGCAGCCGAGATGCAGCCGAGATGCAGCCGAGGTGCAGCCGAGGTGCAGCCGAGGTGCCGCCGAGAGAGAGGGCACAGCGTGAGCTGTCCTCGCGGCGGGAGGTGTGGCTGCCTTGAGCAGACGGGGCCTTGAGCAGACGGGGCCTTGAGCAGAGGGGCCGGAGCCTCGCCCAGAGGTTACCCAGGCGACGTGTCCTCGTCTCTGCCGCGGCCGCCGGCGCGAGACCGCCCCGCTCCTCCCTGCAGGCTGGCGTGACCGTGCGCTACAACGCGACTGTCGAGAGGGTGTCGCACACTTCGCCGGAGGCGGGCGGATTCCCGCGCATCACCCTCCACGCTGTGGGAGGAGGGGGCGGCGGCGAGGCGGCGGGGGAGTGCGACGGCGGCGGCGAGGCGAGCTGCAAGCGGGGTGGACGCGCTGCGCGTGGGTCGGCACCTCTTCACACCGTCCAGCCGTGAACAGGAGGGCTGGGCGCTGGAGTGCGACGCGCTGCTCGTGGCGACGGGCAGAGAGCCAAACACCGGCGGCTTGAGCTGCGGGGGCGGCGGAGGCGAGATGTGCGAGAAGTGTCCACCGGACGTGTCCCGGCACGTCCCTGTAGGCGTGCTCGGCTTCAGGTTCGGGCTCGGAAGGTACGAGACACGTCCGTGATGCGTCGGAGACATGACCCGCAGGCGATCTCGGCCTCGACGCTGCGGGCGTGGAGGCGGGCGAAGGCGGCATCCTGGCCACGAGCGACTAGATGCCAGACGAGTCGAGATCTCCCGAGATCTCCCGAGATCACCCGCGATCACCCGAGGTCGCTCGAGATCAGCGGGAGATCTCTCGAGATCGCCCGCAGGTCGACGAGCTCCTCGCGACCAGCAACCCGGACGTGTACGCGGCGGGCGACGTCGTCTCGGGCACGCCTCGTCTGACCCATGTCGCCGGAGAGCACGCCAAGGTGCTTGTTTGCCTCTCCCCCTCCCTCCCTCCACTCCACTCTACTCCACTCCCCTCCACTCCCTCCCTCCCTCCCCCCCTCCCTCCCTCCCGTCCTCCCTCCCTCCCTCCCTCTCCCTCCCTCCCTCCCTCCCTCCCTCCCTCCCTCCCCCCCCTCCCTCTCCCTTCCCTCCCCCCCTCCCTCCCTCCCTCCCTCCCCCCCCCCCCTTCCCTCCCCTGCCCTCCATTGGCGAGAATGCGAGAGATCGCGCGAGGTTGCCTGCGGGATGGACCGAGGGTGCCGCGCCCCAGGTGGCCGTCGAGAATGCGCTCTTTGGCGGCGCGTGGCGGCA